CCCCCCTCCCTCCTTCGCTGCACTCGTCCCCAAAGAAGGGCGGGCGCTGAGGAGGAGGGGGATGGGTGGGGGCGGAGTAGGAGGAGGGAAAGGGAGGGGAGGGGGGGTGGTTGGTATAGATAGGCGACGAAAGAGAGAAAGAGGAAATGCGAAAAGGGGTTGAAAGATGGAAGAAAGAAGGGGGTGATTGTGGGAGGGGGGGGGGATCGGGAGGGTTGGGACGGGGATTGGGGGGGGGTCGGAAGGAGAATGGTATCGGAATTTATATACGATCAATACCTGCCTTGAACTCTCATCATCTTTCTTGTCCTATCGCGTTGATTATGAGTCTTAGAGGTTTTCACTCTTAATTCTCTTTGTTTTTATTATGTTTTCTACATTTAGACCTCTTTTTTCTACTTTTAACTTGCTCTACTGAAATATATGAATTTAAAAGATTTTTTTTATCTTGTCATATTTTTTTACGGTGAGTCGTGTGTAAAAGAAAATGATCTGAAATGCATATTTGTTATTTTTCAATATGCAATACGTGGTCGTAAAGAAAAGATACCGTATGAATCCATACCAGCAACAACAGTACTGTGCAAGATAACCAAGAAAATGGTCGAGTTCCCCCTGTTTTTTGATTTCCCGTTTTCTATGAGTGTGGTCGATAGGAATGGTGCAGTGGTCGGGATGATAATGTTTTGTCTATTGATTTTTCCTCCAACGGCCTTTCATAGGGAGGTAGAACCCCTGCTTACTACTTTGTTTCCATTTTTCAACTTGACGTCGAGTTATTGGGTCCCGGTTTAGCATGAGAGCAAATAATAGACAAACTCGCCCCATTTTGGAGGAGTTGGGAGTGAAATAGGTTAATATTCTTGGGAATTTTGATACTTCTTTAAAAAAAATAAACAGTCGTCATAATCGATGTTTCTTTTTTTCTCTATCAGTCTATCAGCTTCACCTGCTTTCCTCCGCACTAACAGCAGGAAACTTTCTCCTTCTGTATGATGGCACTCGTTCTCGTGATATATCGTAGTTTCCCCTTCATATATTGGATATCGAATAAGGGCGAGATCCCGGCACCGAGTTCAACGCCAGTAACAAAGGGAATTATTTACTCCGTAGCCCGCATAAATCCAGTCGGGATTACCTACTTATTCATGCCGCAATGGAATGCTAACCCGTCATTGCACTGGCGATTTATGTTTTTTTTTTCTTTTACAAAACAGAATCTCTGCGACTAATTGTATTTTTGTATCTGTCGATTCAAATTCAAAAGTGTTAATTTTCTTTGATGTAAAACGAGGGACGAGAGGAGAGAGAGAGAGAGAGAGAGAGAGAGAGAGAGAGAGAGAGAGAGAGAGAGAGAGAGAGAGAGAGAGAGAGAGAGAGAGAGAGAAACGTTCGAATGCTTTAAACTTTGATAAATTATGCCGTTAATATTTTTTTTCAGTATACGCTGCGACAAGATTCAACTGAGCGAATTCCCTCTGTCTCAACATTTTCATTATTCTTGTTCGAAGCGAATCCAAAACAACCAATTTTTTTCCTAGAATTTCCCTCGCAACCTTTCATCCTTCTCGAACCTTCGCATCTCTCGATAGTTCCAGCGCGACGACCCCCCCCCCCCCCGACCCCCTCACAACACGACTTCCTCTCCCGTTATCAGCGCTAAAATGCTAATCAAGGTCGTTCCTGAGCGAGGTCGCCCGCCTCGCTTCCCCGCGCCCTTCCTCGCG